TTATATAGCGTTGCGGCGGGCATCCTCCAACGGTGACAAGGAAATTGCCAACTCGTCCAGATGCGTGTAAGACTGGTCTGCACGTGTAACCTGCAGGTGTACAATTTGTTAACTTTTTGAGTATGCATTTGCTTCAGTCTTCTTCTTGGCTATCGGTGTATATCTGAATTGCATTCTACTATTTCGCAAGCTCGCCGATTGATTCGCTGTATGGGTTCCTCTGATTTTGACAATGGCTCACACGTTTTACACATGACAGATTGCGTGATTGAAATGTGGGCGCAGATAGGATGCAATGTGCGGCAACAAAACAATGAACACAAATTAATGTGTGTTCTTCTTTTTCATTTCCGAATTATACACTGGCGGCAACAGAAGAAAGAAACGTGGGAGATGGAAAGCGTGGGCGGGCGCACTTAAAGCGGTAAGAATTTGATGATTTTGGCTTCTATGACAAAGCGGCCAGCGGCGGCTACGGGCTGCTGGCGGCTGCTGGCGGCTACTACGGGCTGGTACGGGCTGCTGGCGGCTGCTGGCGGCTGCTACGGGCTGCTACGGGCTGCTGGCGGCTGCTGGCGGCTGCTACGGGCTGCTGGCGGCTGCTGGCGGCTGCTACGGGCTGCTACGGGCTGCTGGCGGCTGCTGCGGGCTGCCAGCGGCTGCTACGGGCTGCCAACGGCGGCTGCCGGCGCGGTATGAAGGCACCCTGACTTCGAGCTTTTGGATGACCTCTAATTTCACAATTTGGAGGTCTTTTGAAGCGGGATTCCTGAGGTGGACAAAGAAGGAGTAGTGCTTTGTCTTCAGTGCAAAAACGGATAGCTAATTACCTTTGAAACAAACTTAGCCATGTTGGAATATGACCATTTCACTTAGGTAGCCTAGTATCCTGAATCTTCAGAATTCGCTCAAACTTTGTCTACAGGGTGACATGCTAATTACGGATATGATACGAATATCATGTTATCACTATTATCAGATTACCCAACTACGACCCCTTCCCCTTTTGACTCCTCAATACGACCCCCAGATGTGGCGTGCCACACCCCACGCTTGACCCTGCTCATGAACTTGCCAATCAATCGTACGCGAAACGCGCTCGCGTCTCTTACAAGGAAGTCAGGTATCGTTCATTCTAGGACTGGGAGACGCGAGACCGCATTGCACACATTGTCTAAACAAGCCTAACCGTGTACTCAGCTGGTTCATAAATCTGCGGCACATTACTCTGGAGTGAGTTTTTCAATGTGCAGATTTGACGTGTCACTTTACGTGGAAAGAATGCTTGTAGATAAAAACCTGTGCGAAAAATGTGCTGCAGTATCGAAATAGGAACAGATCAAATCAGTTGTCGTTAACAAAGAACTTGGCACAGTGTATAACGCTTGGATATTAGGACACTAAACCCAATAGTAGGTCAGATGAGCATGCAATTTTCGCAATTAAAAAACCAATAACTGGCTTCAAAATGATGCGCCGCAGCTAGGAATAGCATATTCGTCAGCGTTCAAAGCTATTTCCAAATATATGTGTCTCGTCGCAAAAGGTGAATGTTACTTGACTTCTCTTGTTAGTCAGAGAATGAATGATACCTAGCGAAGGGTCCGATGTAGAACTTCTTCTTCTTCCCAGCTCCTATGTTCGCAATGCGACTGACCGCTGAGATGATTGCCAAAGCTTACGACCTTTTGTTTTTACATTGTCAATCGTTATTACATAATTTTCATCTAAAACTCTGCAAGGTGATTTGGTAGCCATAGATAAGGCAAACCCTTTGCACTTTGATGCAATTTTGTAACTTTTTAAGGTACACTCTTTGGAGCGAATAAATCATATAGTCTCCTTACTCTAACCTCGTGAAACATATGATACCAGTTTAGGTACTTTCAATGCAACTTTTCTCCTATTTCGATAGCTATCTTCTCTTCGCAATACATGAATTTGCAGACAAAGTTCCTGTAGCTATCAATCATCTGAATTCTAAGTTTTTCGAATGCTCTTGTTTGCAAGGTTATTGATAGTATCAAGTTTTGGACAATATTTTAATGCTTTTCAAGGTTTGTTACGACTGTGTAATATGCGA